TAAAGTGGGAGTAATTATCATAAAAGAAAATTGAATTTCAAAATATTTAGTTAGTAACAAAGTTAAATGGGTAAAAATAAGTTATTGTTATGTGTTTATTAAGTACTGATAAAATTTATTCAAATTTTAAAAATTAGTGCCATCCATTGCGTAGGGATGATGAGTTTTTATAATTTTAATAAAGTTTTAAATGTCTAAAGCAATAGAGATATAATAAAAATTGTAACTATATAAACATAAAAGTGGTGCCACTTCAATAAGAAGAATTAGAGTCTCTTTTGTAAATATTTATGAATAGGATAAGCACATGGTTATAATAGTGTTAAAAACGGTTATAAACCTCTGATAAAAAATAAATAAGTATTATGTGTGTTATATCTTCAATTCTAACACTAGGAGTTAAGGTTAATCTATAAACACCATCAATTTCGTTAGAATTCTAAGATATGCACATTAATTAAATGTTTAAATCAAGAGATACCTTCTTATATTCATAATATTTATTTGTGTAAAAAGATAAAGATTAAGTACCAAAATTCTAAACTAGTGAAAGATTGTTGGTAGTTTAGAATGCAGTGCATTTCATATTAGGTAGAAAGATTTAGTTATTGATAAATACAATTAATTTTTGTATTAATTTTATTCATATTTTAAATAATTATTTTTGAACAAAAATAATTATCATAAGATAAATTATTATAACTATTTGAATATAAATAAATTATTATTCATAAATATCATATTTATAAACAAAGTCATAATCATTTGAATAAAAATTTATGTTATTCGTTTATTATAAATAATTCTTTTAGTATAATTATTTTTATTATTTTTTATTAAAAAACTTAAAATTTTGTTGTGTCTTAAAAATATAATTACTTTTAAAAAAATATTTTTTATATTTCAAAATCAAAATTCTATTATTTCTCTTCTCTTATTTATTTTTTTAACGTATTATAATATCAATGTTTGGATTATAAATTTAGAAATTCGACTGTGCATACGAGCCTCAATTAAAAACGTGAATAAATTCGTGATCTCTCTATTACGTCACGGCCAATCATTGCATTCATTGTTCATTATTATATAACGTGGCTTAATCATATATCTCAAACTAAAATCGCACTAGATTTTGTATGATTAAATTATTTTGGCATGAGATCTTCGATCTTAACCACTCTGTACATGGCCCCATCACGTGTTTCGTTTTTTTTTTCTATTATAGTAAGCAACTCTCTTTACATTCAACATCTACTTTAACTTTATTTGGTTGTGTAATAGATCTATTTTTTTTTATTGAAATAGTCGAATTCAAATCTCCTTCTCAAAGGAAAAAAAAATTCTAACTCTCAACGAAATATTTTATGAAATATTTCCAGTTGGAATTTATCAATCAAATTTGTTTCAAAATTAAAAGTGTAGTGACAATTTCCCTCCAAAATTAAAAATATAATAGTAAAATTACACAACAATTGAAAAATTAATAAGAAATTTAGATCATATACATAAATAAAAATGTTAAATTTATACTTTACCTTTTGTTCTTTTTATGTATAATTTAAAAAGTTGTTTTATAATTTGAAATTTAATTCAATTTATTCACTTGCAATCATCCTTAAAAATTATAATTTATAATTTATAATTTTAATTTTAATACTTATAATTTTTTATTCTATTTTTAAATTAAGACCACCTTTGTAAAAAAAATTGTTTTACATGTTGATTTTTTTCTTGGACCTTAGGTCCTTAACGATGTTTGAAATGGAATCCTTGGTCAGTTTTGCTTTTACTTTGCTAGCTTGATGGATCTTGTAGGCATTTGGGTGATTAATTTCTTTGGTTTTTTTTTTATATAACATATATTAGATGTTAACGTCAAGAATTCAACATTGAAAGTCGAATGCTTGTTTTTGGAAGTAAGCGAAGTCGATCAATATGATATTCATGATTAGAGATGGCATCAGGTCAAGTTCGGGACGAGTTTTGCTCGTCCCGACCTCGATCCAACTATATACTTTAGCATACTCGAACTTGATTTTTTCTGATTTTTTTAATATCCGAACCCGACCCGACCTGACACTATGTAAATTGTATCCGACCTAAAATTAATAAAATATTATTTTTAAAATATAAAATATTATTTTTTAAATATAAATATTTAAAAATATCATTATATAAATATATATAATTAATTAATTAATTAAAAAATAATTTTTTATATAATGTCGGGTCGGATCGAGTTTTAGGCATACCCGAACTCGACCCGACCCGAAAACAAAAATTCAGAAAAAAAAATCCGACCCTATAGAGTCGGGTCAGACCGAAACTCGTCGAGGACAGGGTTGATTGTCGTCCCTATTCATGACGTGTACATTTTAGGTGGCAATGAGTTATTGGGTGGGCCTATGACTCGATGTGATGGAAGTGGCCTACTAATAATTTCTTCAATTTAGATTATAGTGTTTCATTGAGATAACGTTAGGATTTATTTTAAAAAATTTCAAATCATAACAATTTTTTTTAATTCCAAATTACCAAAATTTAAATCTAATCACTAAAACTAAAACTCCAATACTCTATCAATAAAATCATATGATTGTTAATTAAATATATTAAATATCATATTTTAAAGATAATTATATAAATCAATTGAATTAAATTTTAATTCTTCAAACAAATTATTCAACATATTAAAATATAATTAGATAAATTTAATATAAAATTAAATCAAATTCACGTAATGGATTTGAACCTAAGAACTTAGGATTCTAAAACCTCTTCTTTGTTGCTAAGACAAAGCCTCATTGGCAAAAATCTATGTTGGGTGATTTTTTTTTTCCTTAAAATTACTAAAATTTAAACTTTTATCACTAGAATTAAGAATTTAATATTTTATCAATAGATCATGAAACTATTGGCCAATATCATCTAAAGTGATAAATAAAGTTAAATACTAAAACCGATTTAAATATATTAGAGATAAAACACTCAATTAAAATAATTAATTAAAAAATTGGCAAAAATAAACTCAAAAAATAAGACACATAACAGTGTGTCTGTGTATACATCTGTATTAATTAATTAATTAAGTTTAGTTAATGGAGACTATGTCTAGTGGTGAAAGATTCCACCACGATGATTTTTTTTTTTTAATTTGAAAGATGAGAGATTCAAATCGCTCTTTAAGAGGGAAAATATATGTCTATCTTCTGAAGAAAACTTAAAAATCTTTTATCGTTAAATAAAAAAATATATTAAAATGCAAATAAATCAATATTTCCATAAGTTTAAAAATCCAATGTGAAAAGTGCTCCATTAAAGAATATACAAGTTGTGTCAATTAGTAGAACGAAAATAAATTAGTAGGGCCTTACCCAATAATTTACATTTTTTTAATAATTATTTTTTATACATAGGATTTCGTGTTATATGATAATACATAACTTTCTTCAATCTCATATGATTTGAAACGAAAATTTTTAAGCTGAAACATTTAAATATGTTAATGTGTCTTTTTAGGAAATTTTTTCGGGTACAAACTCTTCAAAAACTTTTTTAAATAATGAATAAAATGGTTAAGTTTATCACTTTACTAAATTGAGGGCTCCATATTTATCTTTTATTTTTTTATTTAATTTTAACATTCTACCAAATCTTTTGATTCAATTCGAGTCAGATGAAAATAGAATATTTCAGATAAACTAAAGCATTTTTAATTAAAATTTCAATTATTTCTTTAATTTCTATTATATAAAAATAAAATTATTTTATAACAAAATTCAAATAAACATAATACCAATAATTAAATAAAAATAAAAATAATTTTTTTAAAAAAATATTAACAATGCCATTGATTATATGACAGTAATTTATTGGTATAATATTCAATTAAGCCCTAAAACTTTACTTTAAAATACATATATGCTCCCAATCTATTTATTGCATGAAATTAAAGTTATAAACTTTTATTTTATTGTAAGTAAAACTTTGATGGTGTAAAATATTTAATTTTTTGTTTAAATTTTTTTAAGTGGATAATTTATTTGTAGAAAATGTTTACATAAGTTCATTTGAATGAGTTAAATGAAAAATATTTTTAAAAAAATTATTTTAAAAATTCTATAAATTGGATATTATTTATCTAATTTTAAGATTTAATAAGTATAATTACAATAAAATAAAATTTATAATCTTAATTTCATACACTAAAAGTTCGAGAGCTTGTTTGTATTTTGAAATAAAGTTTGAGGATTTATTTATTTATTACGTCGAATTTATTTAATAGGCTTCCTTTTTTTGAAATTTAATGGGTCTTTTTTAATTACAAGTATAAAAGAATTTACAATCATAATCAATTATTATATCGACGTTGAGAAAAAAAAAAAACTATTACATCGACATATAATATTAAATAATTAATTAATAAAATTAAATATAATTAAATAATTAAATCTTAAAATCTCAAGGCTTTAAATTCTCCTCCTTATCACTAAATTAAGATCTCATAGGCATTTCTTTGTTTCAAGCATTTTTTTTTTTATGTTTTTTAGTAAAAAAAAAAAAAAAACATTTTCGATGTTTTTCGAACATCAAGATTTGGGCATTATACAGTGTAATGCTATACTAAAATAATACAGTGAACAAGTGACCCTGATAAACGTTGTTAATATTCTATTAATAGCTTAATATGCAAGAATTGAAACATTAGATTAGAAAGCTTTCATTAGAATGCAATGATTGAAAAAACATGTTTTTGTAGCAGTTGTTTATCTATTTATCTGCTTACTTGAATAATGGATATATTTCTATTATAAAAACAAAAATGTCAAAGCTGAGCACTGTTTATCGTCACAATCGATCCTGTGCAACGATGTGGCTTATTATGAGGAGTTATGAATTGGAACCCAAGAGAATTGGAGCCTTAAGACAAGTCTATAAAAGGAGGATATGCATTGCATAATAACAAGCATCTCTCTAACTAAATTAAATTCACAGAGAAATCCAGGTGAAAGCAATGTCGTCGTCTTTAACAGGTAAGCTGGAGGGTTCTGTGGAAATCCAGGCTTCTGCGGAGGAGTTTCATGATATGCTCAGCAATAGACCACACCATGTATCCAACGCCAGCGCCGACAAGGTACAAGGATGCGATTTACATGAAGGTGACTGGGGAAAACAGGGTTCCATTGTCTGCTGGAGTTATTTTCATGGTAAGATCGATATCTTGTCAACCAAGAAACTAAGCTTGCAGCCCAGCTGAATTAGTGTCATGATCAGTCTCATGACTGTTGTTAGCCCCCCAGATGTTTCGCTTAATTTCATTTTGTTTTCTTTATTTGATCCCATTGACTTTTCCAAATTACTCTATTTACACCTATGAATATTTTTTTTAGTTTTCTTAATTATTTTTAGTTGCCCCCCTTTTCTTTCTCAAATTCTTTATATAATTATCAACATTATTAATCTATTTTACTTAATTATTGATTAGTTAATTTTCAACTTTCTATTCAATAATTATATATTAAATTTTTTACCTTTTTTGGCAAAAGTAATTTTTTTTTTTTTACTTTGACAAAGTTCCTCTTATGCTGTATGATACATTTAATTTATTTTTTTTTAAATATGGATAACACCCCAATCTTTTATTACATGAAATTAAAGTTATGAACTTTAATTTTGCTATAGTTCGAACCTCAATGCTATAAAATAACTAATTTTTTGTTAAAGTCTTCTCAGTTGGATAATATAATAATTTTTAAAAATACTTAAATTTATTTAAATGAGTGAAATGAAAAATATTTGAAGAATGCTATATTAAAAATTCAAATAATTGGACTTCATTTTTCAAAACTTATAAGTATAATTACAATGAAATAAAAGTTTATAACCTTTATTTGATGTGATAAGAGATTGAGCGCTTGATTCCATTTTTATGTAAAGTTGGAAGATTTATTTGGGTATTATTACATCCAAATGCTACCTCACAGAACATAGTTAATTTCTCATACAAATAAATGTTGATATTTTGCCCCCATACTTAAGTATCCTGAGCCTGGCTACGTCCCTGTCGTCGCCATTTTGTCATATAATATTAATGTTTCAAGTATGAGCATCCACTCTGTTATAAACCTATCTCTCTGAATTGAGCTGATTAATTAGAGGTGAGTTGTTTGTACGAAACGCAGAAGGGAAAGCTAAAATTGCGAAGAATTTAATCGAAGCGGTAGATCCAAAGAACATGTCAATCACTCATAGAGTGCTTGAAGGAGACCTGCTGGAGGAGTTCAAGAGCTTTGTAGCCGTAATTCAAGCTACTCCGTCTACTAAGGGCAAGGGCTGTGTAGTGCGCTGGGTTTTCGAGTACGAAAAACTGAACAAGGATGTTGCAGCTCCACAGAGCATGCTGGAGTTTCTGCTCGAAGTGAGCAAAGATATGGGTACTCACCTCACCCAACCATGATGGATTTCTGCCTGTTTTATGTAGCTAAAAAAAGCGAATAAAGGCTCAGCTTCGATCGGTAGATCTGATTGATGCTTGGCAGCTGTGTTTGTGTAATTTTAGATGTTTGTTTGTTTGGATTTGCATCAGCTGAAAGTCATACGAAAGACTTTCTATATTATTGATGCTCCTATGGTTGTCTTGTATGTGTGGAGTGAAGATGAAGCATGTGCTTCGTCTATTTATGTTACGAATAAATTTTATATAATCTGTTTCTCTTTCTACTTTTACATGCAACATTTCTACTTGACCCTCATGCTTTATGAAACAAATAGCTTTTATAAGAGAAGTTTCAAAGAAAATTTGAAACAAAAAAATTGGAAGAGGAAGTGTCCACAATCGAGCTACTTGTCTAGGCTTGCGTGTCAAACTTGGGCTGCATTGATTTAAGTCCCAAATCCAACCACCAAGCTCAAATGGATTAGTTTATTAAATAAATAATAAGTTTTAATTTTAACCAATATTTAAAATATTAATGTAAAAATAGTATGTTATAATTTTAATGATAAAATATATAATTTGTTATTAAGAAGGCAAGATCATTTTTTGAAATTATAATTATAATTAGATATTATATTCATATAATTAATTAAATAATTAATTATTAAATTATTATTAAATTATAATTATTGAATAATCGATTGATAAATTATAATATAATTATACAATTAAATTTACGTATAATAAAACTTAAACTTCTAGTTAAACTTAGACTTTTTAAAACCATAGGCTCGATAAATCCCAACCCATAAACACTTTTTTTTGGCCGTTAGCCCGTCCCTTTCCCTTTAAAAGCATGCCTTTCGATGACTTTTTTTTTTTTATTCAAATAAAGAGAAAAAAATTTTATTTACACTATGTTTGGCAAAAGATGAAAGGAAAATAATAGACTTGTCCCAAATCGAGAGGGCTTTGGACAACATTTTTCAAGTCCAGACTCGGCTTAGCTTAGCTGGAAACACTATTTTATTAATAAAAATAATTTTATTTTATTTATTTTAAAATATATACTAATATAAATTTTTTTAATATTTTAATAAATATTTTAAATAATAACTGACCTTAATGGACGGGCCAACTCATGCCTTGAAAAAAAGGGGATAGAGGGAATTTTTTTTATAATAATTGATATGGAAGACGAAAATTAGAAGGATAAAAAAGAGATTAATAGAGATGAAATTGTAAATACATAAAATGATCGGGTGCTATCCTTTTTTTTAAGAAAGAGGTCACATATTAGGATATATATATATATATATATATTTATCTATTTTTTATTTAATAAAAAAGAATTCAAAACTGATTTTTTGAGTTGGATATATATTTGTGTGTGTGAGGAGCATTTCACATATAATAATTGTAATATAATTAATCAATCAAAATTTAAAATTTTGTGATATCTATTATAATTTTATGTAGATCCTATACTTATAAATGATAAACTCTAACATAATTTTTTATTATAATTAAATATTTATAACACTATAATAAAAAAAAATTATAAGTGATATATTCCCGTATATATATTATATACCTCAAGCCAAAAAAGGCTGGGATACTTTTTTCTCTTTGTATTGAACTTAAAAGGCAATCAAACTAATGGTAAAAAAAAAAAAAGAAAAAAAAAGGCAATCAAGCTATTAGATATGTCATGTCATCTACTATCATGCATTTTTACACACTAAAATCATGTAAAAGATCCACTTACATTAATGTAATTTTTATATATTTTGTTTTTTAATCAAAATAATTAAAATTAAAAATATTATTTTGATTCAAATTAGTTATGAATTTAATTTTGATCCAATAATAAAAAAATAAAAACTAAACTAGTGTAAGTGAATCTTACTTGTAAAATCACATATATATATATACATTTTTCAAATTTATAAACATTTTTTATCTCAATTTTGCTTATGTATTCTTCTCTTTTCTTAAGCATTGAATGGAACTTGTAAAAGTTTAATTAATTTGAAATTGGAAGTTGAAGAGATGATTTTTTTTTTATTTGAGATTATCAAATTTTAAATCATAATCATTATAATTAAAAGTTTAGCATTTTATCAATATACTAGCTTTGTGATCCGTGCGATGCACGAATTAATTAATTTATATAATTTGAAATTATAATTATAAAATGATATTAAATTTTAAATAAATATATGAACAAAATATAAAGGTATTATTCAAAAATATTAAATTCTTTATTTTTTGAAATTTTTAAGTGAAAATGAATGATCAGTCTCTTTATAAACTATTTTCAAATTTTGTGTAATTATCAAATTTAAACTTAAAAATAATACATTTAAATTTACAAAATGATAGAAAGTCTTGAAAAACAAACACTTTCCTAGGCTTAAGAATATAAATTGGATAATGCTTAAAAATATAATGAAATACAAATGAATTAAATTATCACTCATAATTAAAAATATATAATTTAATTTTCACTTTAATTATTTTATTGTTTATATTTAAATATTTGTATTTAATGAAAAATTTTCTTATATTACAAAATTAAAGAAAATAATTTTTTTATTATTTGAACAATTTGATTTAAAAAATAAAAAAGTTGTAGATACTGTAGATAACTGTCTTCAAAAGTCTTATAGCAAAAAAAAAACATTTTCATCTCCATCTCAATGTTAACTTATTAATATGAGATGATAAAATTTAGTAGCAAAGTAAATATACTTATCATCTTATAAAGATTAATATTTTCAATAAGGAAAAGCAAGTGGTATTATATCATTTTCATAGTTTACTTTTTTACTTGTACCACAATGGAGTACCCCAACTTAATCTTTTCACTCCTACATTTCATGGATACAACATTTAGCAATACAAAACAAATAAAGAAATCTCATATATGATTATTTTACTGTTACATTGTAAAGATCAAAGGCATTTTAAGTTTTAACATCAAAGCGAACATACCTCAATTCTTACTTCCTACAATAATCTAGTTAAACAAAATGCAGTATTTAAATATTGCCATTATAATTTTTATTGATTTTTACTTGATAAAACTATTGTTCTGTTTGATGGGATGCCTGATTTTGAAGTTTCAATTCCCTAACTTAATATAGGACCTATTATTCCTAAACGTAAGTTTTAGAAGAAGGCCATTGTAGTGCAAAAATCCTACAAATTAATGGCAAAACTATAATTATTGATCAAATAGAATGAAATTGGTAAGAGAACTTTTGTCACACTAATATTTTTTAGAGAAAATATCAATTACTGACAAAAATCCTCAAAGCTCTAAATATGATATTTTTTTTTTATACAAGTATGACTAATACTATTGATATGTGCAATTGATGGACTAAATGAGTAATAGGAGAAATTCAGCATAAGAATATTTCATCGAGGTGGAAGATGGCATCCATTAAATAGTGAAATAAATGATATTTGGTCTTTTAAAATTTATTATAAAATTTATAAAAATAAATTTATATTTAAAATTTTTAAATTTAAAACAGATATATTTAGATTGTTAAAGATATATTTAAATTATATATATTTAAAAGATATCATATATCTAAATTGTTAGAGATAAATCTAAATTATATATTTTTAAAATTTAAAAAGGAATATATAGATAGTTTAATAGTTCATTTTAAAAAAAGAAATAACAAAATTATTGATTTTATTCTAAATATATTTGAAAAAAATGAGATTGGGATAAATTTTATTTTATTCAAATTGAAATAAAAACTCTTGAAATATTAAAATAAATCTAATTTTTAAACTTTCAAATATTTTTAAAAATAAATAATTATTGAACTAGATTATCTAGTTAAACATTTAAATTAAATTATTATCTTACATGTCAAAATATAAGTTATCCATGTAAGTATCCATGTGGCATACCTTATCAGGTATTCATGTATTTTGTAATATAATATATATATATATATATATTAGGTTTAAGATGAAATTTTTTAGAATTTTCAAAATCTTACATAAAGTTATTTGAATTTTTAATGTCTTACGTAAATTTTTAAAAAATTATAATATTTTTAAATCAAGATAAAAAAAATTGGTGAAAATTTTGAATAAACCTAATCTTTGTAAATTTTTAAATATATTTAAAAGATTTTGATAATTAAATAATTTTTTAAATAAGGTTATTTGATAAACAACTAAAATTATTTATTAAAAAAATAAAATCCACATTTTATATTTTTAATTTTGAAAAATATATTTCTAAATTGATTTGATTTTCAATTATAATTTTTATAGTTTTGACATTTGAATAAATTTAAAATTATCTAATTTGTAATTAAAAGAAACTATCTTATTTTTAAAAAAAATTATCTTATGTATAATTTAAAAGAGTTATCCACATATATGTACATATGACAAATTTATTTATTTATGTTGTTATATAATATATATTAGATTACTATTAGTTTTTTTTTTCTTTTTACCATGAATATAGGATGACTTTATGAATTTATTTATTTATGTACTTTCTTTTTTTTTTTATGGTTTTTCAACAATAGCAACAACCTCACCCGACAATTCATTGTGTGAGTGGGTTTGAATTAGTTGGGGCAATGTTCCCGCTTGCATGGCCTACTTTTACCAATCTTTTATTAATTATTGGCATAAGAGTTAAATTTTATTAAGCTTTTCATATATTGTAGAGCCCTACATATGACACCTCTTCCGGCAAACCTTTATGACATATTTTATCTCTTTAAGCTTATCATCTATCATAATAATAGATTTAACAATTTATATATTCATGTAATGTTTATGCAATTATAAACACTTATAAAATATAAAAATTATCATATTATAATTTATATTAATAAATTAAATAAGAAACACATTTTTTATTTTATTAAATTCATATATAAATTTTATTAAAATTTTAAATTATATCATTTTATATCTTATTATTATATTGTGTTTATAATTATCATATTTAATTATTACCTTTTATAATTTTAAAGGGTCTATCAAATCTTTCAAAATTTTCTCTTTTGAATCATTAATTATTATTGATTAATCCATTTTTTTATAATAAATTTCTCTTTAATCTCTGTTTCAAACAATATATTAATACGGCATGAGATCAAGTAAACCAAATATGGCATGAGATCCTAACAACTCTCAGCATGGCCCCATAATGTGTATAAATTAATGTTCTGTAAAAATCCCAAATTCCCCAACTAGGATTGATCTATGATTTTCTTCGTCAACCATGATATTTACAATCCAACTGAAAGGAATATAAAAAATTATCCTATATATCAATTTCACAAACACATTTAAAAGATTATCACGTATGTTCATTTAGTAATTATGTAATTTTTTAATTTTTTTTAATTATGTTCTGATGACATGTAGCAATCCCGACAAACTGACGTCTACAATTAATTGACGTGTGTTCACTAAATTATTATAATTTTAAATTTTAAATTTAAATTAAATTGTTTTTTTTTTTAAGACAGAATTTTTTATTAAAGGAAAATAAGAGCTACTAATAAAAGAAGCGGAAAACAACCCAATAAAACCACGACAGCTCACAATTAAAAACCAAATCTCGATGGTCAATTTTAGGTCAAACCTCCGATTTTTGGGTAGAATTGCCAGTAAAAAGAAGCTACATCAACAGGCACTGGGGCAGTTCTATGAGGAGGTTGTACTAGATTATAGCTCCACACCTTTTGTAATGTGAAATATGATTTTGGAACAAAAAAAAAAATGGAAGCACCTGAATCATGAAGTTGAAAAGGAAATTTTCTTTTTTGGCCAAAGGAACAGGAAATATTGAAACTTACTTCTTTGAGCAAATCCTTTTTAAACATTTTTAGAGAATTTTATATTGAGAAAACGGGTTTTAGTACAACTAACCACATTTTATTATAATTAGGTGGGTGCTCGACGGTCAAAATTTTTTATTTTTTATATTTATTTATTATTTTTATTAAAAAATTTATCTAATTTTTAGAAAAATAAAAAATAAAAAAATTCAAGTAGAGAAACACGTGAATATATAAATATATTATTCTCACAAAATATATTTTATAAAAAAATAAAATATTTTATTTTATTTTTTATATAAGATTTTCTTAATGCTAAATTTCAACAAAAAAAGGGATAAATATAAATTTAAATAAATAAAATAAAATACTTATTTTTATATGTACCATATTTATATTTATATCAATTTGATATAAATCCTCATAAATTGATTTAATATCAACTTTTTATAAAAACACTTATCTCAAATTAAGATGAATAAAAATTTATTAGATATTAATTATTTTAACATTTTTATCAGTCGAAAAAAAATATCATATCGTGTAGCGTATGTTTTATATGAAATGAATCTCACATAAAAAAATATATTTTTAAAAAATATTAATTAAATTTAAAAAAAAGGAAAAAAAACATTGATATAAAATAAGTTCCACTTTAAAATTTTTTAAATCTTTTTAAAAAATTATTAAATAATTAAACAACTAAAAAATATATAATTTTTTTTTAAATGAGTATGTGTCACGTTGCAGCTTAACTAGGTACAGCCAAGTTTTGATCAAAATGATCAAAATTAATTATATAATTAGATTATTAATTGATTATTGCTACTTAGTATAATAAGGACACTTATCGAGATTAGTTTTTAATAATTATTATTAGATTAGATGATCGTATGTAAGTAATTAGATTTACCGGATTTTAATTCTAATTTTATTTTTATTTGTAAAAGAGAGAATTGAAGTAATCTTATAACAACCCAGAAAAAAAAATTCAAGAGAAATCATAAAAAAAAAAAAAGGTCTGATCTCACACTATACAATGAAAGTTACACAAAACAGAGGCCAACAATTTCTTACAACAACCCAAACTATCCATTAATCCACCAAAATTTATATCCGAAATTCATACAAAATTAGAAATATATGTAATCTGACAAAAACCCAAAATTAAATGACAAAAATCTTATAGTATTTGATGGATTTGTTGTTGTTTGTGGGCTTTGAGAGAGAGAAACAAGAGAGGTATTTTTTGTTCATAGAAACAAGGGGGTTTAGAAGAGTAAGGAGAGGCAGAAATATATCAAATCACAATACTTTGATTAAACAAAAACTCTAAATTAATGGTAATAAGATTTAATCAATGCATAGATAAGAGTTTTAATTTCATTGAATCACTTTCATTATAAAATGATTTACTTGGCTCACAATTATTTGTTTATTATTTAAAATATAAATTATAATAATCGTATTAAACTTTAAAAAATAAAAATTAATGTCAATTATAATGAAACATCAATTTAATTAAAATAATAAAAAACTAATGATATAAGTGATTAAAGAATAGGATATGAATGCAAGGTATTTAGATTCAAATTTACGATTTTTTGTTGATAAACGATTTATAAATTTATAATTTTTCTTACGAAGTGATGACTTATTTTAATTTTAAAAATAAGAAAATCTATCCTACTTTTAAATTTTTTTTTATACCAAAAAGGAAAGTTAAAATTTTTTTTTTTATATTTGTTATCATCACTATATACCTAACATTCGATAAAATAATCTCTCTTATTTTAAAATTTTTATTAAAAAAAGTTCAAATTTATATTTTTGTTATATTTGTTATCAATGCTATATACCTAACATTCAAAAAATTTTGTCAATCTTATACAATAGTTTTTTTTTTCTCAACCAACAGTTAAAAGTTTATTCATAATAAGAGATCAGTACATATAAAAATTTTCCAACTAAGGGAAGAAGACACCAAAACAACTAAAAGCCAGCACCCAATTACAGCCAAGCATGAAAAACAGTAAAGCAATCAACACCCATTTATGCTAGGGAATCTGCAGAAGAATTGCCTCTCAAAACAGTAGAGCAATCAGCACCCTTTGATTTTCTACCCCCTTTCTACATCCCCTAAACTTCTGGGTTCTGACCACTATTCCGGTTCATCAATCATTTCACAGCCTTCAATTGCTTTCACCCACAGGAACGACCTCATCTTAATAATAAAAAGAATATTCTCACCTGTCCCAGCCTTTCCTTCCAAACACCGAATCATTCCTGGCTAACCATAACGCCCAAATGTGGTAGCACCACATACAGAAAACCATCTTAGACTATTGAAGTGAACTCCCTCCAGAGTGTCTCATCAAATCCTCAACACTACTTGGAGTTTTGGACAAACCCCACAATTTAAAAACAGAGCACCAAACTCTCCGAGAGAAATAACATGGCAATAAAAATATGAAAGCAATCCTCAATTTAAAGATGACAACCGTCGGATCGAGATACATTTTTGTTTGCTTCAAATTTGATTTAATTTTATATATTAAATACCTAAAATTGATTTTATCCATAATTAATATAATTCGAAATTAATAAAATATTTTAATATAAAATATTACTTTTAAATATAAATATAAAAATAGATATAATTAAATAAATGATAAAAATATTTTTAATATATATAAATCAAAACGAGTTTATCTAAAATTTAACTTAAATTTATCTTGATTCAAAATTTAATTTTTGAAAAAAAAAAATCTTATAAAATTGGATCAAATTAAAACATAAAAGATTCGGATTAGATTGCTATCCCTATTCCTTGTCATGCAATCTACATCAAAGGCACGAGCATTGACCCTCTTCAAAGCAAACTCCTCGAGATTTCAGAAAGCACTTTGAAGGAATTCAATTCATAGTAGCAAGCCAAAGAAAATTTTGAACTTTCTGAGGGACTTTATATTTCTAAAGGATAGAAACCAAACCTGATCATCCGGAGGATAAAGACTGTCCAGAGAAGATGCAAACTGCTTCACCGAAAAATTGCCCCTACTCTTCGGACCTCAAACAAGTTTGTCCTTGACATTAGTCCTCAATATTACTTCTTTAACCAAATTCTTCAACAACTCGTTTTCTTATTCAAATAACTGACGCCTGAAATTGAAATTCCACTCCCCCGAAGCAATATTCACTAAATCAACAACCTTACAAACCTGATCCCTGGTCAGAGAATATAGCCTAGGAAAAACAATTGCAGCAAATCCAATCTCTTAACCTTATAGGGAATCAATGGTATCTCTTAGCTGGTTTCCAAGGTTTACCCGTAGAACAAATTACAAACAGGGCAGTCAGTTCATGTCAAATTGCAAATGATTGCAAATCAACGTGCCCTCATCTATCTTGGTAGAAGAAAGTACATATCATATCAAAATCGCCTAATTAAAATAACTCAAGCTAGTCAACTGAATTATGTAGTATGTTAGTCTACATGACTACATTTTTTTTTTGGGTACAAAGCAAACCGCATCCGGGGAATAGAAGAAAAGATTACAAACGTTAAAATTTGAATTTTAAACTTGTTGGAAGAAGATGACTGCATATACCAACAGAGCTAAATTCAAAGTTCTACATCATTACGTAGGAGTTGAAACAAGGTTATAATTCGGTTTCTGTTCATAAAATACATAACAAAACTAGTACTTATTTCGAGCACAGAACATGGAGCGTGAGACCGATACGAAAACTACAAAGTAGATAGAATATACTTAATCCATAACTTCACTTTCCAAACCCTTACAGCCAGGAGATTCAATCCACTCCAGTTGGATTAACACTTCCCCGCACTCAACATTTCTGAGTTTGAGATGCATGTCTTGGGTGATCTTGCCATTGTTCCAAACAATGCTGCTCTCAACAGCCAGGCAGTTTGTCGTGCTTGGCTGTATTCTTCTGAGTGGACAACCATTCGGGAGATTTTGCAAGCCCTTCCCCATCTTCAAGGCTGCTATATATGGTTTAATGTCTATCTCTGCATTGCCCATATGATCATCTATAGTAAACGTGTCTTTGTCATACACGGTCTACAAAGACAACAAATCGAATGGAATTAGAAGAAAGTTCACATCTGCCCAATTACAAATGATAAGGAATTTTTGGCATATATCCACAAGCCACATCCTGCAATTATCCATGATTTATGTTCCTCTAGGTAAACTCTAGTACTGAGTTATATTCAGCATCAGCCTTCATCATTAACTGAATATAATATATATATATATATATATATATAAATCGGATATTACTTACTAAAAGGATTGGAACATTAGGATCATTGATTGAAAGAGTTAATTCATCATTCCACTCAGGATTGCAGTCGTTTTTCACAACGCTTGTCTTCAATGTCTGCAGCAATTTATGCAATATAATGTCAAAGAAAACGACACATTAACAACTATAAAGCTTCAATTTATGAATTCACCATAGTTGACATCAATGACCAAAACTCAGCCTTAAAGAGAACTACACGACAACTCTCGTGCCAAGAAAGTGATCTCTCTATCTAAACATAGATTCTGGGCATTTCTTAAATGCGAGTTCTAATTTAGAGACATGTTTCAAACCTCTCCATGTCACTGAACACAGCTCACGTTAACGTATTTGGTAGGTTGGTCTTTAAGTCCCATCCATTCCGGAGGCTCTATTTGGACTACAACAAGTTCCTCTTGATATCTAAAGAAAGGAGTTAATTGTACTCTAAACTCTAGATTATGTTCATTGCAATATCCTAATTTTTGAGGAATTTTGTTTCCAAAAAAAGCACAAAATTTGAGTCCCTTTCTTTAATAAATGAACCTACTAGGAAAATCATGCATTTCTTCAATAAGATGATACTAAACATAAATTCCTAAGCCGACCAGTAGAAAGAAAAGAAATCCAGCATCAACCATCATGAAACAAAGTTAGCTAAGCAAAGAGAATAAAAAAAGATGAAGGTAACAGACATGTTGACCCATAGTAATGACAACATAAGGATCACTGCTAACGGTGTCACGAATAGCAAGATTGATGCCTCTTAGGACCCTGATTCTGAGAAGTCCTAAGATCTCCTCCATTGCAACAAAACAGCTATCGACCCAAGCAAGACTAGTCGAAAACAAAACCTTCCTTAACTTCGTTTTGGGACCAAAATAATGCCCAGAAGCTGGAATTTAAAACAGATTGTGATATCAATTTGACAAGCAAAACACATCAAGCCTATCCTTCGTACGTGACCCACCAGAGGAATCTTTTCACAATCCCTAGACTCGGCCTCAATGCAACGTGTGGTGGCTCAGATAACGAAATACATGAGAAGGACAAAACAGAAAAAACAAAACCCAAGAGCATCAAAATCCGAAAAGACAAGTGGTTCAGCGCTGCCATAGCTCTGCCCTTGTTTTGTTTTTAAGGCTATGTGATCATCATCAGAAGTTATCTCCTCAACAATGTGATAGACAGAAGGGGGCAAGGGTAAAAAATTACACCAATGATGCAGTTTCATTTCAATTAAATGTGAGACAAAAATCCAGATATAATTTGTACATTGTAGTAAAATAAAAGAAATTTTGTAATTCATCCAATTTGGAGAGCTAACCAATTAGATGTTAAGGAATATGGTGGAATAATGAGTTTCTTTTCTTGTAGCAAAAACGAGTTTTAATTTCCATAATTCATCATGTATAATTTTCCCTAATGAAGACGAGATTATTCCTTTTCATTATCAGTTCCTTGCCTCCTCCACTCTCTTTTCCTGATCACAAAAATATCTGATTTATGCAAAAAAAAAAAAAAAGAATAAAATAAAACAAAACGTGAATTACGTTTTGATGTAATGTAAGGTAGAAATTGATAAATCCAATCACTATCACACTTTTGGTTTTTGTCGATTTCTGTAATGGAATTATTATATATCCACAAACAGGAAAAAAGAAGTGATTCTTTCTGGTATTCCAACAATGTTTAAAACTCATTCGCAGGATGGGTAGCCCATTTTTGTTTTCCTGGCACCGTCCAAATATCGCTGCATTTTGGGCTGTAATATTAGGTTACGACATCGACTTGTTTCCTGATATGGGTCTGGGAATATATGCAACTGCAAACCATACCTTCCTCTGATCAGGATATGTATCCTTTGTATTGGGTTAGATTCCCTAATAATAAGTTAACGAGTGAGACTGAAAGTGCCCTTTTTTTCTGTAAAGTCATGTGACCCTGCTGCCATGACCCAGGATCATGACTCAGACAGTACTCAAAGATCAAAAATTGGTATGGAATTGGAAAAAGGATAATTGCTGGAAAAAGAATACAAGAGACAGCTGATCACTGCTGAGCAATCTCAGCGAGACTTCTGTTGGTGGATATAAACAATTTCGAGCAAACAAGCGTGTTATGGGCTTTGATGAGTGGCCCAACTTCTAAAACTGATCTTCTCTTTATAATTAATGGAAACACAATGCACACAATGGACAAACTTGAGGACAATACCATGGAAATATGGAATTGTATATTTGTACTTTGTATATGGCAAATAGAAAAAGAGAGAATTGGAACTTAGATTCATGCAATCATTATAAATAAAATTATCAATAATCAAATAATTTTTTATATTTTTTAGTACATAAGTTATCACAATTTAAGGATAAAAAAATGTGATAATTATTAAATTTTGAATTTTAAACATATTGATATCATTTTTTTGAATAGATATAATTTGATTCGATAATTTTTAATAAAATATAACCTCATTTACCACTTACCATTAAGACAAAGTGTTACAGACTTTTAAAGAGCTGTATGCATGCATATTTAAGGACAAACAAAATGTTAACAAAAAAGTCTATGATATCTTACAATTTGAAACCGAAAAAGTTAAGCATTCGTGCTTTTGATGGTTGGATTTTTAAAACTAAGATTCTCGAAACATGGCATAGAAGAACATTTGTTTGTGCTTATTTTACCAGACAAACGGTGGAGTTATCACACTGGGGAAACATCGAAGAATTCATGAGCAACAGCTAGGAAAGAGTGAAACAATGAGATTTTACAAAGAATATCCTCGAATGGCAGCAAAGCAGCATAAAATCTCCTAACTTCAACTGTGGGCAAATGACAGCCATGAATTTGGACATGAACAATTTTATAATCCAAAACACATTTTCTCAGAATTATACCAAATCCGGTATTATGGCATCTCCTCAAAAGAAACCAGGAAGCAGCAAGGTGATTTTAATCTTTTTGTTTTCGGTGTGATAACAAATACGGTCTTTATGGCTAACATCAAGCAAAGTTTAGTTTATTTTATTTTTCTTTTTAATTAAATATGATAATCCATATATTCATATCATATTAAATATTAATAATTTTTTTGTACTCGTACTATGTTTTATATGAAACTTGTATATCATAACTTTTGTTGACTCGAAAATATAAAACTTATTTTTTTTATTTTTTTAAACTCTTATATAATTTTTATTAAAATTTTAAACTATGTCACCTTCTGTCTTTTATTCTTATATGGAAGAACAAAATTTATCAATTTAGTTTATTTCGATCTATAATAACCGATAATGAGAACCAACTTGAAAATCTAAAGTTTAAGAAACGGTGTTCTAACCTTAGCATTGATCTAAGGTTCACTTAGGTTGCCTATCCACAATTCAATGGTCAAATAGAGGCAAAGTGGCAAACAATAAAATTAAACTCAAAACTTTAAAGAAGAGATTGGATGACGATAAAAGATAGAGATGTAAATGATAAATTAATACTCGTAAGCTACTCGAATTCGATTAGATTAAAATTCGAATTCGATTCGATAAATATCGAGTCGAATTCGAACTCGAACAGCTCAACTTATCGAACGAGTCGAGTTCGAGCATATTAATATCTAACTCAAATAGCTCATGAGCTTTATCAAGTTTTTCTATTATATATTTTTTTATTATTTTATTTATAAAATTATTATTTTACCCTTAACCTAAAAAACCCTAAACTTTTATTTTCTTCTTTCCCTATTTTTTTCCTCGTTATCCCTGTCTGTCTCATCTCACTAAAAATACATCTGCGACGCAGCATGGTCCACTTGCTTTGAAAGAATTCCTTTTCAATTCTTTCAAAGCTGGTTTAGACCAAAGATAACGCAAATCAAATCAAAGTTGGAAAATTCAAGACAAACCAAAGTTGGAGCAGGTTGCTGCCTTTCTGCATAACAAAAGGTTTTTTCATATTTAGTGAACTTTACAGTTGTGCTTGTGGCCATGATTCTTTCTTGTATCTGATTATGCAGTAATTCATGTAATTTCGTACAAAAAATGATGATGATAAAGTGTTTGAGCATGGTCCACTTCCTTTGTTTCTTCTATAGTTTTCTACAACTGTTTTGAACGAGAACCATGCCAAAAATTTTGACAAAAAGAAAAAAAAATGGTAAAGGAAAGTTAGCAATGTCATCGATCTTGGTGTGGCCAAGATGACGATAGGATTGAGGTGATCCAGCTTGGAGGAAGCTATCCATTATTCATATTAATCGAGCGAGCTTAAATAACTCAATTTCGATTACAAATCGAGTTTGAGTTAGAAAAATAAAATTCGATCGAGTTTGAACTGAATATCAAGTCACGAGTTAAAAATCGAGTTCAAATTCGAGCTTGTCATTGTATCGACTCGATTCAGCTCGTTTACACCCCTAATAAAATAAAATTGACCAAGAAGCTTCCTAGAGTATTGTGGGCATTAAGGATCACAACCAAGGTTCTTACAAGAGAAATCTCTTTTAATTTGGCCTTTGAAATAAAAGCCATGATACTAATTGAGATTGACCTATCGAGTTTTCAAGTTGAACTAAGTAGTGAAAAAGGGAATAAAGAAACCTTAAGAGTTAATTTGGATCTAATCGAGAATACGAATATCAATTAGTAGAGTATAGGTAGAATAGAACATTTTTATCCACGTCCTTAGATTTTTATATTATACTCATCTCGATACCCATATCCAACGGGTATTTTAAATTTATTAATATCCCCAATCCCCACAAATATTTAATAGGTATAAATAATCTTCATACTCATAGCTTTAAAAAATATATAAAAACTAAAATTTTTTTAGCTTTTTTTTAGTTTTATCTTGTATATTTAGGTAATATTTTATAAACATATATTAATATAATTTTTCAATAAAAATATATTAATTTTAATTAATCTAAAATAATAATTTATATTATTTAATAAAAAATTCATATACTAAATATATAGAAATATATATAGGGTAAGGTATGGTATGGTTCAATTACGGTTCAAGTACAGGACATGTATTATATTACTCATCTTAATCCTCATACCTAATAAAAATTTAAAATCATACACATATCATCTTCATACCCACAATGCAATACCCATCCCCATTCTCATTCAAGTAAAGAATTAAATTTTCAATTAAATATGGATAAATTGACATCCCTAATTGATGAGTAAAAAGATGCAACTCTGACAATGATAACTACTTATCAATAGAAGATTCTAATTGTTACAACAAAAGGGTCTGATGAAAGGATATTCACAACGATGACTTGATACTTAAAAAAGTTAAAATTTCTAATATCGATGATCGAGGAGGAAAGTTGGCCTTGAATTGAAATGGCCTATATATAGTTAAGGAAGAACTTAAAATCACAAGGTTGGAAGTTTCTTCTGCGTTTATATTCCAACGTTCAAGTTAGTGCTTGAAAAATAAAAATAAAAAAATTTTGAATGAGTCTACTTTGCGTGATGAGAGCTATTTATACCTGTAGGATAAGAATATCAGTTTGGATGACTCAAGTTCTGAGTAATAGATTTAGGACTAAAGTTGTTAATACAACCTAATCTGACAAATAACAATCCAATTAGGGGGTAACAAGTCAGTATTATGATATACTTTCAGTTGAAAGTTAAAATAATTGAATTAACGTAAATCTTAAGACTTTAGATTAACTCGACACATTAGCATAAGTCAAAATAATGAAGTTATCCTTATGTTATTGATAAGTCACTTTCTAAAAAAGAAAGTAGATAATATTTTTATGATCATAAAATGCCATTAACATAATGGTATTGTATTCTAAATTTTAAGATCTACTTTAATTACCGACCTACCTTTGAAATACCATCTATATATGGTAAGGATTCAAAAATAAATAAATAAATAAAAACAAGGTTAGCCATTAGCATGAATTTGAATATTAGGCAAATAACGACAAGTTGCTTAGAGTCAACAACCCAACTTGTCCCTTGTGGGTTTCGATCTGATTTGACCTCATAGGATCGATTTTTTTTTTTTGAAAATCGAGTTTCAGGTCGAGTTGGGTCGGATAAAGCTAAGAAAAAATTGGGATAAGGTCAGGTTCGGATTTTAGGCAATCCCAACTTGACCCGATCCAATATTATATAAAAAATTATTTTTTAATTTTTTATTTATATATATTTATATAATTATATATTTAAATATTTATATTTAAAAATAATAATTTATTAAATTTTGAATCAAGTCGGATCGAATATGATTTATATAATATCGGATCAAATTGGATTCAAGTACGAAAAAAAAAAATTTCAAATCAAATCAAATTTAAGGTAAATAAAAACTCATATCAACCCGACCTGTTATCAGCTCTAAAGTTACTTATTGTAGGTGAAATAATTTGATATTGAAAGAAATTATGTTGCCTGGAAGCTTCTACTTTATCTCATCTTCATTTTGCTTAAGTCACACTTTTGTTTTGGGATAAAATAAATACACGTATGTACTGTTAATTTCAACAGAGTTAATTACACATTTGATATTATAATAAAATACATAAATTAGTATTTCAACATATATTTAAGTAAAATATATAATTAAAATTAAAATTTTTAAATAATATATCATATTAACTTAAATTTTAATATCATTAATTTAATTCATTTATACAATATGTAATCAATATAAACATTTCATGTATATTCGTTGCGTGTTAAAAAAAATACTAACTATGTTGTAAAAATTCTGCATCGCATTCAACATTAATTGGGTATCTCTGAAAAAATATATATTTAATTGTTTAATTAGCCTTAAAAAATTGTTGATAGTACCTATGATGTGCATGACGTGATAATATTTTCCTTGAGAAATAAAGGAAAAGACAATAAAAGTTCATATTTATTTTTATATATATATAGATATGTTTTGGATCTAATTATTACTTCCTACATTTCAAAATGGTTGTTTTTTTATTATTTTTTGATCAAATTAACTTAATTTTAACTATTAATTTTTAATAAAAAATTTAAAAATAAAATTTGATAATTTTTAATTTCAATTTTTAAAATATATATATTTTAAAATTTTAATTCAATATACTATTTGATCAAAATAATCAAACAAAAAATATTTTTTATATCGATATAAATTATAATACATAATTTTTATATAATATATGATATAAATATAAATTATTAATATTTTATATGATATAAATACATAAATTAATATATTTATTTTTTGTGTCTATGATTGATTCAAATCAGCCCCATGCCAAAGAATAATCGGCTGCTTTATAATACCAACTGGCTAGTTGAACAAAAGTCATATACGGTATCATATCCTATCTGAGGTAATATTCGAATTAAATGAATGGAGCTTAAAGCAACTTGAACCGTGCATAAAGCAATCAATTAGTTTTATAGAATTATATTTTTACAAGTGACTGTAATTTTTTATTATTGGATTTTGTTTATGTTCTAAATGTTAGATTTTATTTAGTTTTATTATTTATATTTTTTTTAAATAAAAAGTCGTAACTTAAAAATAAAAAAAATATTACAGATATTTAATTTTAAATTTTAAATTTATTAGATGTCGAATTTTTAAGAGTAATTACATCAATTAATTAAGTTATATTCTAAATTTTATGATATTAAATTTATAAAATCTATTTCATATATGTGTCTTTTTTATTTACATAATCTTTTATATTACTCCAAAGTAATGTGGTAGATGAATTAGATTGTTCTTACTCTTTCAAAGATTTGGAGAAAAGGAGAATATTCTTTATTATTTTCTTAATACCATAAGTTTATTGGATATTAAATGTAAATTTTATTTTTGAATTTAATATTTATCTATTTTTATTTTTGGACAATGTCTTATAAATTGCTATTTGTGTAAAAACAAACAAAATTCATATAATTATATGACCAGACAAACTATTTATAATTATATGACTTTTCCTTTTTGAAGGAATTTTGAAATTAAATTATGTTAATAAATTTTTGTTCTACTTTGAGAAAAAAATATTTTATTGTAATATGTATTTTGTAAACATAATGGTTTGAATTTCATCAAAATATATATATTAAGTGAATTTAAAATTTAATTTAATTAATTTATACAATTATTTTTAAAAAATAATTTATTCAAAACTTAACTTATACAATTTATACATTTTATTTTAAAAAATAATATCTAATAAATTTAAAACATAAATTTAAATACTTACAACCCGGTCCAACAAGACCGGCCGGCCAAAAAAAACCCTTGAAAAGCAACAGTTACTGTTTTCTCTAGGAAGAGTGAATTTGGCAGGTTTTTGGTGATTGGTAACGTAAAGGGTACTGGATTCTGAGGAAGCTCGCCGAATTCAAAAAAAATTTGTATATAAGATCACAGTCAATCCCCAAACTCTCTCAACAGGAAACCCTAAATATTCCTTCCTTTTAAAGCTTCCACCTTTTTCACCTTTAAATACCCTCACAACCTCTCAAACGCTTCTCACCATTCTTCTAACAACAACCAAAATTTCTCTCTTTTTAGTCGAAGGCTGCGATACCAAGAACTTCTTTTCTGTTCTTTTTTTTTTTTTTGGAATCAAAATATCGATCTTTTAGGATTATTGTTAATGGTGGAAAATTTTCGGAGGACTAGTAATTTGATGCTCTTCCTTTGCAAAACAAGGGCGAGCGCTCTCCTTATTGTTTCTGCAGCTTCTGCTTTCGCATTCGGTTCTTGCAAAGGAGGCTGGTACTACCGTTGCCTCGGCCTTGACCCATAAACAACCCTGAAATCTTTAGCCTCCGCCAATAACCCAGATTTTTTTTTGTTAAAATCCAAGAAACTAAAATAAACCCATTTTTTTAATCTCGGTTGTTGGTGAAATATTCATTCAATTTTGTTGGTTTGATTTTTTCTCTTTTCTGGATTTTGATAAAGTTGAAAAGATGTTGATTTACAAGCAGAAAAAGAATCAGGGTCCCAAGGGCAACAGGCTCTTGATTAGCATCACAGTTTTGGGAAGTGCAGGGCCGATACGTTTCGTTGTTAACGAGGAGGAACTCGTTGCCAGTGTCATTGATACTGCTTTGAAATCATATGCTCGTGAGGGTCGGCTTCCGGTTCTCGGATCTGATATTAATGATTTCCTCCTTTATTGTCCCAGTGCTCGATCAGATGGTAAGTTTATTCTAATCCACTTGAATCATTGCCCTTGCCAGTTTTCACTTCAATCTTAAGAATAAAAATTTTCTAGGTTTTGTTTATTTGGATTTTTGGCTTAAATTTTGAAGCTATGTGCTGAAGCCCTGGTCTTGAAAATCCTAAGCCAAGTCCTTGAAAATAATGAATTAATTTTGTTTTGTTTGGGAAAAGGTGTTGGATTATTTATGATATTGGTATTTTCATTGCAGCACTTTCTCCATGGGAGACAATTGGATCACAAGAGGCACGCAATTTCATGTTGTGCAAGAAGCCAAGGACTGGCAAAATGGAAGATGATGGAAGGTCGACTCAAGCAATTACTAGGAAGGGAAGTGGGAATTGGAAGGCATGGATTAATAAATCCCTCAATCTTTAGATTTCTTCCCATTAATTAAATAATTCTCAATCCTTTATGATCTTTACTCTTGGGTTAGCTGTGCTTTTAAATTAAGGATTGAAATTAGGCTATCATGGAGGGCCATAGTAAAATGTTGGTTATGTTTTCACCCTTTTTTTTCAGTCAAGTGAGAAAGCCTCAAATGTTATTCAGGAATAAATTGAAGCTGTTGTTCAGTTGTTTTGCTTTGCAATAAAAATGACCATTTTTGGGGTGTGGTTAATTCCAATTTTGTCTTTGAAAAGTGCTGTGTTCTGTTGTGTTTTTTTTTTTTTTTTTGAAATAGTAAACTTCATAACTTAAACTCTGAAACTATCCTGCTCAAGTATTATAACTTAAACTCTGAAACTATCCTGCTCAAGTATTACAGCCAAACTATTAGGAAAACCCTCAAACCAAATCCTTCTATTAGCATTCTCCAAAGCCGTCTTTCCTAAACAGTAGCTGCCCTATTCCCATCCCTTTTCACGTGGCTGCATTCCGAAGTATGTAAGCCCTGCAACTGTGACTTTATTTCCTCTATCAGATTCCCTAAGTGGGACATGTCAGTACTTGTGCCCTTAATCTTCCTTATGATCACCATTGCTGCTGTGTTCTGTTGTTGAATGTTTATGATGGATGATTATATTTATGTCAATAGTTTAGGATTCTTATTGAGGAAATCAATCGGGTTTGGCTTACACCATTGTTTGAACTTGGAAAAGTTCTTCTGAATTGCCCATAACCTTGGTGTTGTCATCCGCTCTTATCTTGCTAGCTTGCTTTGAAGGATTTTCTTTTGCTAGCTGGATATGGCTATTTGGCTAGAAATATAGAGCATATGAAATCATGCACCGAAATCTTTCGTATTATGACAAATGAAGAGTTTTAGTTTTATTTTGATTTTGATTTTGTTATCTGAACAATGCCGTACTTAGGAATTGACTCTAGGTAGACAATGCTCATTTTTGAACTCTGCCCAAAATCAAACCAATGTTGGAATCGTTTGTCTTGAGACTAATAGTCTATTATTGTGGATCTGAGTGTTAGATACCTTCTTGAGATCTTTTGAACAATTAGAAGTTTGGTGAAATAAGGGGGCCGTAGTGTCCTGTTAAAACTTTGACCAAAGGAGTAGCTCTTGTCTTGCCCGAATTCTCTCCTGTTTCAAACTTCGAATGCCGCTGTTCATGTACACGATAGGGGTCAAATTCTTATCAACCTTGCAAGAAAAGTTGACTAGAGTTAGAAATAAACTGTTCAAAGGTTTATTGCCACTTTCTCTGTTTAATTCATATTTGATCTAATGTCACTAGTTGAAGGATCCCAAGTTGATTTTTGTAGACAGGTTCATCTTTGTGATTGTGGGAGTTGATCTCCATAGTATTTGTGAGACTTTCACTTTGAAGATTTGATTTGTGAGTTCACCAATATTGACTTTACCGTGGATGGTTGCACATCATTTGAATGAAAATACTTGTTACAGGTACCAATGGTTTTTCATATTATAAATGGGAATGTGATGTTGCTTTCCTGATTATACTGCTTGAAAAAGTTCCCTTTCCCCTTTGTTTCTCGCATATGCTAGTTGTGCTTTATTTGGTTGGTCATTTTCAGATTAAGAAAGGTGCGAAAGAAAGTAAGAAGTGGGATCCCACCATGTCCAAATACATTCATTTCTGACGCCTTGCAGCTGCTCGAGTCTGACAGGATGGCAAGACAGGAATCTCAATGCAAAATTTGGGGCCGGCTTCTGGGAAACGCATGGCTCTAAATTAGGTGATGATGGTTTTAAGTTTGATCTCTTGCTTCTAAACCTGCGAATATATCATGGTGATCAATGGAAGGTAGGAGACAAATATACCTGCTGAAAGCTTGGCCATTGCTTTGTTCCCATCTTCTGGTCCCGGCAAGAGATTGATATCTTTGTTGCATATTTTTTGCAGCTCAAGTCTACTTATCTTTCCATTGATAAACGGTAAGGTAGCATTTAGTATCATTTTCAAAATCACCATGATAATGTAATCATTTAGCTGATCTTATCACTTATGGTTTGAAATTATTTTATTTGGTTAACAATAATTAATTTATACGAATTAAAAATCATTGTATTTAGTATTATTAAAAATCATACATTATTTCATTTAAAAGTATGAAAGTAATCATCTTTATTGTAATAATTACATAAATTAATGATTTAAATGTTATTTAAAGATAATTCATAAAACATAATAATATATTTATTTCTTTATTAAGTAAAGTAATTTTTATAATATAAAATATGTCAAAAAATTTTAAATTAAAAAATAAAATTAATTTATTAAACTCATAATAAAAAATAAAAATATTACATGATATATAAAACATTAAAAAATACAAAAGTAAACAAATTAATTTTAAACTTATTATAATAAATATTAGTTTAAATATAAAAATTTATAATATAAAATAATTAAAATTTTTAGAAAATGAAGTATTTAATTTATAAATTAAATAAATAATATTTACTATTATTAATATATATATCATTTTTTTTTTGTGATAAAAATTTTTTATTTTTTTAATGAAAATTAAATCATTGTCAAAATTACGGAAGATTATCATATAGTACACAGTAACTACGGCCATACGGTCTTTCTTCTCTGATCTTTCCCTTTCCTTGCTGTCTTTTTCAACAAAATTTGCAGTAGCGAAAGGACCATGGCCGGCCAGTGATTTCCAAGGTGCTATACAATAAATATCTAGTCAAAATATTTTTCTTGTCTTTTTCTATCTTTTGAGAAGCAAAGTAAATGAGCCAAAGTTGGGGTGCCAACCTCACATGTCACAACCAATCTTTCATATCATAAACCTTATAATAATTAATCATCATTTTTAATAGATTGATGTGATCTTTATTGTTTTAAAAAATTTATACTACATGATTTTATCAATTATATTAAATAATTAATAATTAAGTGTTTTTTTTTTCATCAAATGTATTGTTCTATGACACGCATTATTCAACTTTTTTTCTGTTTTCATGCAAGGCCTTATAATAATTAAAAAAAAGTGTAAAATTATGCACATTTCTCATTAAATCCCTTATTAATCCGTTTATGTTTTATTAGATGGCATATAACAAAGTGCGTGAACATTAACGACTCAATGACACTTTGGTCAAGCCATAATTAGTCTTATGCAATCAAATTATTCCACTTTTACACCATTCTAATATGATCATAATAATTATTCCGAATCCAACTCTCACACTTTATCGTAAATTTGTGAAATCATCCATATATTAAAATGCTTTATTCATAAATTTGTCCAAATAATTTATCTAGCAATCGAAGTGGGACAAACAAATTGATTGATACAAACAAATTGATTGATAAGTTTAGCACTATGATTGAATTTTTTAAAATTTTTAATTTATTTTTTTAAATTACATGTCTAAATCACTTCAAGCAATCAATCTTTAAAAATCTATTTATTATGCACAGCATCTGAATTATGGTAATCGATAATTCAAGCATAAAATCAAGATATTTTATCTGTATTCAAGATTAAACATTATCTTTATATAATATCGAGCTAGTGACTTGATTTTTATAAAATTATATATTTTATTATGATAACTTACTTTAATATTCCTTCATATGGTAATTTTTTTTATTAAGTGGATCAATGATCTGTTTGTAATTTATAAAAAATCTGATGTAATTAATTTATAATACTGTGATATATGTAGAACATTGTAATTTATTGAAAACTTTAATTGCATGACAAACTAGAATCACTCCAAATAATGAGCAACGCTTGGGGTTATGGTCTGTGAGTACTAGTGGCTGTAGAACCAATAGACCATGGTGTCTAAGCGCATGTTACGCCACACCCACACGACCCCTGCACCTGAAACTGCCTTTTAGCCCTTCAATATTTTTTAGTATATCTGAACCAGCCCACTCCTAGAAAGTATTTCAAGCCTGGAAAGGTTAGGCCACTATTTGGGCTTAAAGCCCACCATTCTCAAAAGGCCATATGAATCTACAAACCACAAAAATTCTTTCGGAATTTAGTTTTTATTCATTTTCTTCTATTTTTGGGTGTTTTCTTTCCCCAATTCACGTGCTTTAAAATAAATTCAAATATTTAGTGAAGATCCAAAACAAGCTAAGACGATTGAGAACTGAAATTGAAATCAAAGCAAATAAGAAAATCAACGAAAATTAGGTGTTGGTGTTAGAGATTGTAATGGGTGGGCCGGTTTTTTCCATATCTCAATTCTGATTTGATTTGATAAAATAAATATTTAATTTTAATTCGATTGAATATTAAAATATTATTTTTATATTTAATTTAACTTGATTATATATGTATAAAATCATCATCGATTCGATTTTATTTAAAATTAATTTCATATAATATATTTATTAAGTTAATATTTTAAAAGACAATAATACATACTCATTTTATTAATATAATATGTATAAATATAAAATTAAATAAATAATAAAAAATATTTTTTATATACATGAACCCAATCAAAATAGATTTACTTAAAACTCAATCTTAATTTAAAAATAAATAATCTGATTCTTAAAAAAATTATAAAATTTGATTGGATTTAGAAATATTTATCAACCCTATTTGATATGTGTAAGTGATAAATGAGAAACTTTAATCAAACAAAACCGACTTCTATATAATTCCAGAGTGATTATGTTAATAATAAAATAGAAAGTAAATGCATCGATTGAACCAACTCGAGCTTGTTTTTACAAACGAAAGTCTAATCCAAATCTGACATCATCTAACTCATAATATCTGAATCTTTGTTTTTTCTCACTTTTAATGACCAAAATTAAACACTACCTCAAATCAAATGTATATTTTTATGAATTATTCATTATACTTAATATGTATTTAATTAATAAGAAAAATATTAGAGGTATTTTATAATTGTAAAGACATAATGAACTTTTTTTTCATATGGTAATTGATCAATAATTTACGAATAATTTTATCAGTTTAATCGTAACTAATATGTTAGATTGATATGAATTTTTGGAGTTTACATTGGTTTGGTTAACTCAATCTTACACTTGAAAGTATATGAAAATGTTAATTTATCATTTTTTTAATGAATTACTAATTGTTAGGTCAAGTTGAACCAATACTGTAATCTTAAATTTGATTTTTAAAATTTGGGTTATTTAAGCCTAACACTATCACTCCACAAATATAAATAATCCTTTAATATTAAGTATGGATATTCAATTTTGCTTCTCTTTTCGAGCATTAACTTAAATGTAAGCTTTTAATTAATCTCTCACTTTATGATTTCAGGTTTTTAATTTCATCAAAATAGTTTAACACAAAAAAATATATATCTTTAATTAATAATATTATCTTCTTATTGAATTAACCAAGTGAATCAATTAAATGGATTGAAACAAGAATAAACTCTTATCTAATTGAATGATCGATCTAATTATTAAAACATTAAATTTGGATATAATAGTAGTAATAATGGTAATAATAATGGAGATTAATTGAATAGATAACAATCTAATACTTTATTTGTAAAATTTAAATTTAAATTTTATTATTAATAAAATTTTTGGAGCAATATGTAAATATAATATAAATTTTTATTAAAGTTTACTGTATAAGGAAATTTTTTTTTCTGAACCCGAATAATAATTGTGTAGACGTCCATCGAGTACAAATTGATCGTTATGTTTGGAGTGCCGACAAAGAGGCAGTGAAGATTGGGTAAGGGCAAATTAAGTCGGCGTAGAAATGGATGGGACGAGTATCTATGATAAAACCGTGTTGAAAATGGTATGCATATAGTAAATCAAAGGAAGGTCAAAGAAGAAGAGAGAGCAGCAAGCACATTAAAATTAACATGGTAGTCCACATCCAAGTGCCCGACATGCAGAACTGCTACAAAATCACGAGCGATCCTAACCTTAAACCTGACTGCCTCTGCCTCCCAAACGCCATAGAATGATTGAAAAAACATCACCGTCAAAGTGGCTACTGTTTAATATACCACGCTTCCCTTTTAGCTAGCTTTTATTATGTATTAGTACTAAGATGTAGACGAAACGAGTTTTTAATGAATTGTTTATGGATATATTTAATTTTTTTGTTTATATTTATTTATTAAATTTAACAAATGATTTTAAATAATATTTATTTATTTGTTTATCAAACAAACTAAATATGAGTAGAGATACATTCAATTTATTTATATTTGTGAACATACTCATTTAAAATTTATTCGTTTATTATTCGTTTGTTATTCGTTTATTGTTTGTTTATAATAATATTAACAAAATTATATTTTTATCATTTATTTTAATTTTATTTTAAGGTTTGTTTATATTCATTAAGTGTTTATTTGTTTAAATTTATTTGACTATCATTCATAAATATTTTCGTTTATATATGCTTGATAATATATTCACTTAATATTTATGAATAAATTGATTTAACTTAATTAAATCGAACACAAATATCTTATTATTTAAACGAACCGAATTTGAACGAACATAATAATTTTTTTACTGAACATGAATTGAGTCCAAAACCCTCTAAAAATTAACAAACTATAAATATATATTCGTTCATTCATATTCAGTTTGTTTATAGCTCTAATTAACAAGAAAATATTTCATCTATAATTATTTTTATTATAATTTTATAATTGTTTAATTATAATAAAAGAATTATGTAAAAATTCACTATTTATAAATATGAATTTAATATAAAATTTTAATAAATCTCATATAATTTTAAATTATAATATAATAATTATAAATGATCTACTCCGTCCTAATACAAGATTTTTCGTAATTCTCAACATAACTCTAGTTACTCTATAGCTTCTCAAACAAACAACTAAAAAAAAATCAACAACTGTAATTTGACTTGGCTTTCTTAATATTCTAATAAACATGACAGGACCTAGGACCACATCTCCACATAGAAAAAATATATAATAAACCATTTTAGTAAACCATTTTCTTTCTTCCATCAAAAGGAAAAGGAAAGTTGCATGCCTACCCTTTTTTTTTTTTTCTTTTCCAATTTTC